TCAACCATCTAGTTTGGAGGACAACCTTCTCCTAGATGGAAAGGAAGAAGTGCTTGTGTGTGAGGCACCAGCCAGCAGTTCAGGGAAGTTAGATATAGTGCCTGATTCTCTAACATTCCCCTCATGTTCTCCTCGACAAATGCAGCAGCTCCTCAGCTTCAAAAGGGCAATGTTATTTATCTGCATCAAAGGTAGGGAAGAGGGACCAGTGAAGGAGGCAGGGATGAATTAACTTCTCTAGCATCTGAACAACACTCAGCTCAAGTTCTGAAATAGCCAGATTCCTATCAAAGAGAAAAATGGCCTAGGACTGAGATGGTTGATAGAAATCGATAGATGTAGTTGAGAACTGTAAAATCTCTGTTTGGTACAATATATGAGGAGCTGTGTAATTTAGCTCCTTTCTCTAAAACAGGATTTATGCAAGTTTTTTGAGAGACAAAAGGAATTATTTTGGCAACAATGATTTTCCAGTGCTGTAGGATATGTCTGACCTCTACTGATTTTATGGCAACTGACATGGAGACTTTGAACGATTACTTTGCCCCACATAGGCATAACATAATTTAGTCTGTCTGAGGTCAGTGATCTGAGGACACGGTGTACAAAGTAAAATAAAAAAAATTGCCTGAGACTCTCTTCCAGATGTTGATATGGGTGGGGAACTGCATTAAAGCACTTCTCCATCAGATATTAAAGATCAGCTAAATCCAGTATGACAAACTAAGTAGAGAGACAGAGATAAATGTCACTCGGTGTTAAAAACAGACACATCTATCAAATATGATCTTTGCAAATACTATGGAAAAGTAATAGCTATGAAAAAAAACCACAAAAACTTTCTTTCATACCACAGCATAGGTTTTTTTCTGGAACTGTTGTATTAACGTGTAGCTACAAGACACTAATAATTGTAATGGCGAATACATACAGATGGCTCTCACTTCCCTCTAAACTCACCCAAAGGAATCACCTAGTAAGTATATCAATACATGTGCCATCAGCAAAGAGTAGTTTCACTTATAATCAATGGTAGGAATTCTCCCTACACAAATTTAGGAAAAGCAAATTGTATTAGGTGGTTGTTTTGAGCTTTCCGCATTCCCAGTTCATTCTGAAGTATATGCAAGGTGCAGTAAATGTAAATGACAAATTGCCTCTGATTTCTGTCATATAAACATACTGTGAAAAAACTGAACAGCAGTTGTGCTATAGCCGTTCTGATCTAAGGATGCAAACAAGTCAAACAGGGCACAACCACAAAAGGTAAAAAAAATACCGGTTTGAAACACAAAACCTCATTATACAAATTAAAACAAAAAAAAAAAGGAAAAGAAAATGGTTATATGCAGGTATTTACAGGTATTTACTGGCCCTTATCTAAATTTTATACCTACGTGTAGTAGTACTGCCCACAAGACACTTCCATTCTATCAGATTTCTTTTGGAGAAGGCTGCTGGTTTGGGAAGAAAATCTCCAGAGTTGTCCTACACACAGGCAAATACTAGTGCCTTCTCAGCATTAAGGAACATAACTTCCGTGATCACATTTTGAAGGGAGTAGATGCACATTCTTCTCTTGCTGTGCCCTACTTCTGGTTTTTAATATGCTGGGGTTTTGATCGCTCCTCAGAGAGTGAGTTTTTCATATGCATGGATGGGATGACAAGAGATAAGTATGTTCCTAACTCTGCCAAAGACCTGCTGAATCCTTTAGAGCTAGTCCTTCTGTATCTCTACACAAGCTCTGTAAGAGGAAACCAGAGTTTAGCACCACCACGTCTTCCCGTGAGAATGAGCATTTTTTAAATATTGACTTGGAAATGAACCTCAGCCAAAAAAACCTTAATCTCCACTTCCCAGCCATTTGTGCACACTAACCAAAATATGACATCGTGTCTTTTCTGCACCCATAGATGCTTTTCCTCACTTGTGCAGAAAGGAGTACTTACTTCCAATATCTGGCCGTAGCTTTTTGTCATACTCTCTCAACAGCTTGTTTAGTATGAGAGTCACATCTGTGTCTTGTGTTTTTGGAGCTAAAACCCATTTTTGGTTAGTTGTTCCATCTTCATATTCATCCTCTTCAACCTTTCTAGAACTGCAATAACAAATCAAACAAATAGATGTTATTTTACATAACTAAAATCTGAATTTACGTTCTGGGTAAATCTCCACACTCATCTGAAGAAGTTTTAGTTATCTCCCTTGGCTTTGCATCTACCCAGCCTTAGGCTGGTTTTGCAACAGGATGTTCCCATTAACAGCTGTTGAGTATCTGTGGATGGGTCGTCACTGAGAATTGTTTAGAAATTGTCTTCTGCCAGTCTCTTAAAAAATTGTACTCTGGGAGTTAATACAGCTATCAGAGTAGTATTTTACTATCCTGTATTTTAACCAACCTATCCTGACTAGTTAGTTTACAATATACTCTTACGAAGAGCGAAGGTCTGCAGTATTATTTTATTAATACGTCAAGACAAGTATTCATCTCTTGCACAAAGGCTAATAGGAGTATTAAAAATTCAGATCTTTTAATACTTCCTGATCATTTTATCCTATTAATAAATTATTATATTCTCAGTGCCTGAATTTCAGAGTTTAATGTATTACAAGGCTTAGAATTAAGAGCTTGCTCCTTGAATTTAAGATGGATTATCACAAGTACACAAATACGTTGCATAAATTAATCTGATTTTCCCTGCAGTTTTAACGACATTTTTTAAAAAACAGTACTACACCAAGAGTTGCGACTGCTTTCCTTCATAGCTGGATTATTTTTATTTTAAGAGTACGTTAATACAAATGTGGTGAAACTACAGTTCGCCCAGAAATCACAGCTAGAGCTATTTTCACACAAGACTAATTTCATTTGTGTGGCTTTTCATGCACGAACAGTAAAATGTTGATTTGAAGATGTATCTTTTGGTATCTTAGAAACCAAATCTGTTTGATATCTTTCGCTGGAGAAAATCTATGACAGTTAAACTGAGATGAAGTTAGCAGGAGAAAAGATAACCTCAGTGGTGGAACCTATGGCAGTAACCCTGTAGTCCTTTGACCTGCAATCGCCCTGGTGATAACGATACCATTTCGCAACTTTTTTACACAAATGTCAATAATTATGCAAGGTGCAAAGCAATGGAGAATCAGAGGCACCAGCCTTGCTTATTCATGGGATGTGCTACACGCATCAGAGCAACCTCCTTTCTTTCCTCTCCATAATGACGCTAGTGTCTTTTAAAATATCTCAGATGTCCAGAAGACTTGATAGACATTCTACAGTAACAGAAAAAAAAAATGAATACAAGTATAAAAATTTAATCACAGAGCACCATCAACCCTCAACATTGCTTGTAGACCACCATTCAAGCATTTAATGAAACTTTTAATCGGAACTGCTCTACAGCCAATACACCCCTAAGGATTAGCCATGAATCACTTAACATGACCTCACATATTGTGAGTGCTCTAGGTACGATTTCTATATAAAAATAATTCTGAAACCTAGCCCCTGAAGATTTTCTACCGAGACAGCTTATATAACCAAGTTGCAAAAGTAGAGAAAACTTAGGGGAAATTTTGCATAGATGAACATTCCTTCTCTGTTAGCGAGTTGCATTTTTTAAAAACGTTATCTTTTTTGTATAATTCACCCAATGAGCATTAAAAAACCCCAAGAGGATTCTTGGGGAGTTTTCTTCTCCCTCAGATTCCTGACAAGCCCTATGTTTTAATACTACAGTTACAGAACCATTCTCAAAGGAGGCACCGTCTCCAAACATACATGGTTGATATTTCAGAGCTGAAACGCTGCAGTGGTGCTGAATTGCCGATAGGAAAGGAGAACAAATCATACGTCTTTTTCTGCTGCACCCACCACAACTTTACCGGAGGCATTCAGACTGCACGTGGAAATGAGAACTGAGTTCAGGTAGGATCAAGATTCCCATTTCAGGGAGCTGCTGCTTTAAAACCGGTCACTTGTAGGAGTCTAAGCTCTGACAGACCTTTTAAATCCCCTCACTCTAGCAGCTTGTTTCCTAGAAAGTACCTCCAGACTATGTAAAGTCCTACCTACCTTCTAGCTTAAGATTGGGGGTGTGAGAGGTTTCACAGTGAATCAGACTAATACACTAGATACATATTTTGCAAGGTGTTTTGTTTTCCTCCTTAAGAGTTTATTTCACTTCCCTTGCTTGCCTCTACACAATTAGGCTCCTTGAAGGCACTTCAGGCTGCATTTTCACCTGTAGCCTTACTGGTGACTGCCAAATTCCCAGCATATTCCTGCTATCCACCGAAACAAGTGCGGGATGGTGGCAGGCCATTCTCAAATTGGAAAGGAAGAAGGGCTGCACGCCTTCCCCAAACTCCTCAGGGTCCACTAGCTTTGCCTCTGTGAGGAGACAGAGAGGAGGCAGTGCATAAACTGCAAAGGAGGCTGGAAAAACCTGAGAGGTTGTGGGGAAAGGGTTTATTTCCTGCAACACGTGTGCCCAGGACTTGTCTGGGGGCTGGCATGAAGCAGCCTCTAGTTCCTGTGGGGATTTGGGAGAGAGATGCCACTCGGGTGCGAGGCAGGCTACTGAGAAGGAGAACATGGTTAATAAATAGGGAAGGGAAGGGAAGGGAAGAGAAGGGAAGGGAAGGGAAGGGAATATTTCTGTTGAAAGGGACCTACAATGACCATTTAATCCAACTGCCTGACCACTTCAGGGCTGACCAAAGTTAAAGAATGTTATTAAGGGCATTGTCCAAATGCTTCCTAAATGCTGACAGGCTTGGGGCATCGACCCCCTCTCCAGGAAGCCTGTTCCAGTGTTTGACCACCCTCTCAGCAAAGAAAAGCTTCCTAATGTCCAGTCTTAACCTCCCCTTGTGCAACTTTGAACCATTCCCACATGTCCTGTCACTGGATCCCAGGGAGAAGAGATCAGCACCTCCCTCTCCACTTTCACTCCTCAGGAAGCTGTAAAGAGCAATGAGGTCACCCCTCAGCCTCCTTTTCTTCAAACTAGACAAGTCCAAAGTCCTTGGCCGCTCCTCGTAGGACATGCCTTCCAGCCCTTCCACCAAGCTTTGTTGCCCTCCTCTGGATGCATTCAAGGACCTTCACATCCTTCTTAAATGGTGGGGCCCAGAACTGCACACAGTATTAAAGGCGAGGCCGCACCAATGCTAAGTACAGAGGGATAATCACCTCTCTTGACTGGCCCGTTATACTGTGTTTGATGAACCCCAGGATGTGGTTTGCCCTCTTGGCTGCCAGGGAACACTGCTGGCTCATATTGAACCTGCTGTCAACCAGCACCCCCAGATCCCTTTCTGCAGGGCTGTGGAACAAGGACTGAAAAGACAGTGGAAGAAAGGAATATTTTAGTTTTGACATGCAAATAAGATACCCAGATATATTTCAGTGATTAGTAGGCAGCGGTGTTGCAGCTGGCCGGGGAGCCAGGCGGGTCCCGGGGAGGGGGCGGGGGAAGCCGCGTTTGGGAATAAAGCGCCGGCACGGCGCGGGGGTGGGGGGGAAGAGCCCGCTGTCCCTCCCGGGCGCCGAGTATTTCGCAAACTCCGGCGAGCGGGACTCCAGCCCGCAAGCCCCGGTGCGAGGAGAGAGGAGAGGGGGTGGGAGGAGGCGAGGGGAGCGCCGACTTACCAGGCGTGAAACACCGAGAGGAGGAAGAAAACCGGCAGGAGCTTAGCGGACATGGTCTGGGCAGCGCTGGCCAGGTGAGAGGCGCGGCAGGACGAAGGAAATGTTGCAGGATGTTCACGCGAAAGGGAGAATGAGGCAATGAGGTGAAGCTCTTAGCCTCTCTTCCTCTGCATTCTCAGCTTTATACCCTGAAGAAAATACCCCCTTTTCACACCGCTCCAGGAAGGGAGGGGGGAGGCGAAAAGAAAAAAAAAAAGAAAAAAGAAAAAAAAAAAGAAGAAGAAGAAGAAATGGGACGAGGGGGGAATCCTCAGCGGAGAGGCTGCCAGGGCCGGTATAAATCAGGCTCCACGGTGTGACAGGTGTTCAGCGGGCACCGAGCTGCGGCGCTTCCCCCTTCCTGGCAATCAGTCGCCGGGAGCAGCGGCGCGGCCCCTCCCGCTCCCCCGGCTGGCGCTGGCCGTGCCCCCCGGGCTGTGCACAGCGAGG